TAGAGTGTTTGGTGTCCTTTTAAGGGAACCAAAAATTTTTCTTCAATGTTGGGGGGGTTTGTTTACTTTCTTTCTGCTTTCTGCGCACCTGAAAAAAAACAAATATATATTCAAACTATAATAATAATATAATAATGAATAACTAAATGAACAAGACAGAAAGAAAGATAAGAGGATTTTACCAAAGCGCATAGCCAGACATACAGGATAGCCAGTTTCTATGAAGTCAGCATTTGGGTAAAAGGAAGGAGCAAACAAGCTGACATCTATCACAAGCTTGACCCTCTGTCCTACGTGATGTTCAGTTGTTTGTATCATGAGTGGTAGCCCATGGGAGGGTCGTCTGTATGGCACCTCTATCGGTGTGTGTGCTTTGTTAGTTGCCCCTTCGGGTTTGCTTTCTACACACCACAAGCAGTTGAATGTGAATGGGCCATAAGACAAAACATTTGAACTTTGTAAATTCCAATGCTGTGGATGAATGCATCTTTTTGATAATTATACAGCATCGCCACATGCTTTGAAGTACAGTGCTGCAATTTTGGCAAATCCTCGATCCGTATCAAACATATCACGGCGGCCATGAACACCGCCAGCTGGGTGTGATCCCGCCGGAGCCACTATCAACCTGTTCACGACTGGGTGCTGATCCGGCGGGGGCAGTATCGTAATGAGTTGTCTTTGAACCAACAACAACACTGTTACGCTAACGAGCAAGTCAACGCAATTTACCACCAAGGGGGGTACAGATTCCATATCCCAGCCATTTGGACAGACACAGAATTGAGAGGAGAGGACGAGAAGCTAGAAGGGGGAAGATTTCAGCACATTCCAGCAATTCAGAAGATGTATATGGGACAGATGGGTACTTTCTGTAGTGAAACAGTCAGAGGAAAACAGAGAACTTTTAAGGAAGATCGGGGCATTCAAGATCCCTGTCCCGTAAACCTAAAGATTCAGAGGCAGAAGATGGAGGGGGGCAGTGAGAGCATCGTAGAGAAAGCAAATATCCAACTTAAGTAAAACAACCGACTATAAATGATGGTGAATAGTGGAAAACTATCTGGTTCACCTAAGAGGTTAACTCTCACAGTAAAATTAACTAATTAGGAAGGATTTGAGGTAGTAAAAGTTAATACTCTAAGTCTAATTAGAAATACTGTTATGCAGTATGAAAGATGCATTGTTTATTCTGGGTTACATCTACACACAGAATTTCAGCTAGCTAAATGTTTTAGTCGTTGCCAATCTGTGGAAAGAAGTCAAAAACACGTGGGGACTTTTCCAATCAATTTCTCAAATTTGGTGTAAAGGATTTTGTGAATAAACATGGAAAATGTTTTAAAGTATGGGAAAAGATTAGATTAAAATAGTAGAGGACAGTTGAAGGACCTAAGCAGTAAGCTAAGTTTCAAGTTAGTAGTAGAGAGAAGAGAACAATGGTGAAGGACATTTAGAGTGGAAGATCAAGGTAATTATAGGTGTATTTTTTATAATCAAAGTTTGAAAGTCAGGGATTAGAGAAAGGACTGAGAGTGGGGAAAAAGTGACACTAGTGGTGATAGATGGAAGTACAAGCAAAGACAACTTTTCTTGGGGAAAACTAGAGTAATAAGGAGATTAACACTTCAGTCTATTATACACAGTGAGAAGCAATTTAACTCTTCAACATTGATAGTTATTAAAGCCATAAATATATCGCATTTGGTTATAAGGGAACCAATACAGCACCAATTTTAGGGGAAAAATACTTATTAGGTTAGATGGGGACGTTCCTCCCACATGGAGAGATAATTATGGAGAAAAGTATACTTATCTAGTGCAAGCATTATTAATTTGTTCGGTTAGAATTATTGGTTAAAAGGCTATGTAATTCATAAAGTAACGCTTATGATGGAAGATTTGAAATCTGTGAAGTTTCACAGTCACCAAGGAGGTTCAGGAAGAGTAGGTTACAGTAGCCACTCCAACAGTGAATAATACACATAGGATATCGTACTTTGCCACTAGAAGTAATTAAGGTAATACATCAACTACTTTAATGGTAACTTGGAAGGGATTAATAATACGATGGCAATAAGCAAATGTAGGAAGTATGACCACCGACAACAAATGTTCTGAATTAAGGGGGTGAGCAAGACGAATAGGGTTAAAATAGGAAACAGATAGTAGTAGAGAGAAGAGTGATACTATCATGGAGGACAGAATGAGGTCTTTGATTTTAATGACAGACAAGGAGAGGTATTGATCAGTACGCTCGTTAGGGAAGAGAGAAACTAAAGGGAGTGGTTTGATTCTTCTGTTGTGAAGTTAGGATAGATGGCAGGTAGGAATCTTGGTTCCAGCGGTTAACTCATTCTGTAAGATCAGTGAGGAATCTGAGGGTCCATGTCTGGTGAGAATTCCACCAACAAACATTTTAGAGACGGTCGTTCGACCTCTATCAAGTATGTGTCAATCTTGTGCGTTTCATGCTGTGGTATCAGCAGCAACAGTCAGTTAACAGTAAATAATGTCGTTGTCAAACATTTGTTTAAGCCTAGGGTTAGGTGGTATTGGGTTAAGTGAATTAACGTGGGTGCATTTGTTAGATGGAAGTAAAATCAGGTAACAGCAAAACTGAAGCATTTGATGGTGGTTAACATTGAGGGCTAAAAGTTGTTGGTTCTAATCAAAACATATGAGGTAAGGGGTATGTTTATGGATATCAGATTGTGATGTTATATGATAACTTTGGGTATGTATGACCTTAAGGGTAGTAATGAGAAATATGTTACTTTTTATGTACCAGGTAGTAAAAACAGCAGGACTTTGATGGTTAAAGATAGCTTTTGCCTGACAATGTGACTATGGGGAATTTTAGAGATATTTGGAGGGTTTGTGGTGATAAAGTATATATTCTTACCCTATGGATAGACAGGATGTTGTTACATCAACGTGAAGCTTCCATATGAGGTTTTTACCATTATAAAGGGGTAGCACTGGACAGAATCTGAAGCTCTATTTTGAAATTGGATGAAAGAGACATGGTTACATGTCATAGTCTTCAAGCCTATATTGAAGTATAATCTAAGGAGAAGGGGGGACTTTTTCCATGGTATGGTATAACATTTGGAGATCATATGGATAATATTAGGTATACTTTGGAGTCCAGGATAGTTCAGATGGTATATATGCATGAAGAATATAAGGGATGTGTTTGGGAGATCTGAGAAGATTTGGTTGCAGAATCAGTAGG